TTTTCATACTTAGTATTTTTGTTTTGTTTGTCTTGTACAAATGCATCAGTGTTAAATGAGCGTATGCATAAAACCAGAAAAAATCCTCTAATGAGGTCAGAAAAATAAACCTTAATTCAAAGGGAAACCAGATATTTTTTTCTTACCCTACTGGCAGATAATATTCTTGTTTTAAACAAAAACTCACCTAGACGTACAATACTTAATATCTTATGTCATTTTGCTTTTCAGTTAAATATGTTGATTTAAGAATGTTTAGATATTTGTGCTAGAAAACTAAATAAAAAAAACTGAGTAAGAAAATCATTTTTACAGTGTATTTACAATAACTATTTTTATTAAGAGAAAAAACTGAAAGAAAGAAAAAGTTTGAGAACTTAAAGGGGTCATATGATGTTGCTAAAAAGAACATTATTTTGTGTATTTGGTGTAATGAAATGTGTTTATGCGGTTTAAAGTTCAAAAAACATTATTTTCCACTTGTAACACTCCAAAGAGAAAGGACAAACTGAAATCGCATCATGAGGGAAAAAAAAAATTTCTTACGATTTTCATGAATCTGGCCCCAGGAACTTGAATGTAAACAGGCTCGATTTAGATTTTATGAAACTCAGGAAATGGTTGTAATTTGAAAGATGTAAGGTTGAGCCTAAGCAGACTGTGTATCTGTATGTCTTCAGGTAAAGCAGCGCCATGTTGACCAGCATCACCGAGAGCATCTTCTGCTGCCTTATGGGAAAGACGACCAGCGTTGTGCTGCCGGTCGAATCATCAGACGGCAAGCCTGCAGACGGATTCGAGTTGGTCGAGGTGAAGCCGGGTCGTGTGCTGCGCGTGCGCCACATCCTCCCCGAACGGCCTGCTACGACAGAAGCGCAGCCAGAAGCGGGCAGCAGTGTCCACTGCAAGCGCAAGATCACAGTGTACCGTAACGGCCAGCTGGTGATCGAGAACCTGGGCGACGTCCTCCACTCCGAGATCCTGCAGTGCCAGAACGGAGACGTGGAGCATTGCAGCACAGTGGAAGTGGAGCTGTCCGATTACACCACCGCCCCCTCGTCCCCTGATCCCAAACCCGCTCCGCCGCTTCCCACCTCAGACCAGCAGAAGGCGGCTCCTCCGCCCAGACGCCGGCGGCGGAGACCCAAGCGCACCGTGCTGATTGATACGGAGCGCTGCATCAGCAGCTGTAAGGGGACGCATTCGGACGTGGCGCTCTTCTTCATCCACGGCGTGGGCGGCTCACTGGACATCTGGGGGAGTCAGCTGGATTTCTTTTCGCGGCTGGGTTACGAGGTCATCGCCCCGGATTTGGCAGGACACGGCGCCAGCATTGCCCCTCAGATAGCAGCGGCGTACACCTTCTACGCCCTCGCCGAGGACCTGCGCGCCATATTTAAGAGATACGCCAGAAAACGGAACATCCTCATTGGTCACTCCTACGGGTAAACATTGCGTTTCTACTCAATGCATGCTTTTTTTTTGCATTATACACTATCAGTCAAAAGGTTGGACACTCATTTATTATGACTAATTTCAATATGTTAAAATGCAGCAAAATGAGAGATGAAGTGCCTAAAAATGTGCCAAAATCGAAAGCTTCTACATTTTTTTTTTAACTATTTGTATATTTAAAAAATATCCAAAGAATATGACACAAATGCAGCCTTGGTGAGCATAAGACAGTTCTGTCAAAACAAAATTTTGACCAAGATAGAACGATAGATAGATAGATAGATAGATAGATAGATAGAAC